CAAGCTGCACCCTGACTCCTGAACACAGAAGCCATGCGACAGTCCATATTTATAGTTAGAATCGCTTATTGCCACGCAGCTGATAGATAGCTGACATGGATGGAAATACACCAGAAAAGGTAGAAATGGATTGAAGAAAATGAGGGGATCGAGGGTTAGTACTTCAACATGGAAATTGAGGGGAGGGAATGCAATTTAATCCATAACAGTCCCTTACTATTGGTGTGGCTGGGACAAGGCTTTTGACCTTTTTGTGCCTCAGTTTTCTTCATCTAAAATGGAACCATTGAGTAGGGTTGTTATGAGAAAAGGAGTTAGTATTTGGGGGATGTTTGAAACAGCGGCTGGTAATAGACCACTGCAAAAATCTGTCAATTCCCATGATAATAGATGATATGATAATAACTGTGGGCTGGGGTTGTCTAGTCTGCAACCAGCCACTCGGTGGCCAGGTCTCTGGGTTCCCCCCGGCTTTGCAGGGGAACTTCTCTCTGTCTCTCTCCATCTACACAGAATTTAGGAGATTTTGCTGATGAGGGTCAATGAGTTCCAGAAGGTTCAGAGGGAGGGTCCAGGAGGACTGGTAAAAGACAGAAGATTAATTCAGACAAGAGGATATACCATACGCTGGCTGAAGCAAGACCGGGAAAAATTGGGCTGGACTATATCCTGGACTCTTTTAGAGAAAGGCTGGTTATCATTTATAGTTCCAGTCCAGATTTGCTTAGTTGGAAGCCATGGAGTTTCCAGGTAGCTGCTCAATCTCCCAGCTCAAGGTGGTGTGATGATTTGGCTGCGATAGTTCCGTCCCAGTGGTACTTGAGAATCACCAGTGGTCCTAGTTCAATTGACTTGGACCTTAAAATTTTCGAAATGCTCCCAAGGTGATCTGAACATGCCACATGGATGAGAATCACTGGAAGAGACTCCCCAGAGCTCCCCTTGCTGCTACTCAAAGGTGGTCCAGGGACCAGCAGCAGAGGAGCCTCCTGGGAACATGTTAGAGATGCAGCAGTTCTGACCCCAGCTGAATTGCTAAATCAAAATCTGCATTTTAGCTGAGTCCCAAGAGATGAAGTGTGAGAGGCCCTAGGCTGCAGCTCAGGGAACGCAACAAGGAGGAAGTGGGGCCCTTTCCAATTGCCTGGCTCTTAATGCCTTTGTCAACTCCAGGTAGCTCTATCTTCTCCCTGGGAGTGCCACCTGACAAGCACCTTGGGCTAGGTGGGTTCAAAAGTCAGCTGTCTTCCTGTGCCCCTGCTGGGGAACAGCTGGCCCTCATTAGAGAGGATGTCCCAGTGCTCTTCTGCATAATTAGAGCCAGATTGGCCTGGCAGCTCAGAATCTCTAGTGTGCTTGTGTTCTGATATAAACAGCCTGACCCAGCAAGGGAAGAAAAGGTTTAGATTCTGCCTGCTCAAGAAAGCCTATGTACTGCTGAAGCCAAAGAAATGTTCCAGGGAGGGGGCAGGAAACAAAGACGGGGGGCAAGAGAGAAAGGGAATCTGGACTCTGTAACCTGTTGATCAAGAGCTGCCTCTTCTGGCCCCTTGTCTTTCTGGAACATATGTTGCTGGTGCAGACACATTAGAAAGATGAGCTCATGCTCGGTGCAGTTCCTCTCAGGGGAGGCTGAAAGAACAGGAGAGATTGGAGACGCTGTCTTAAAAAATAAATCAGTAGCTTTGAGGGCAACTCGGAGAAGAAAAGCAGATACCAGGGCAGCGTGCATGTCAGGGATGAAACTTCATGTGCACAGACATAACTTTCCAGCGTTATTAATCAGGGCTGGAGAATAGACTTTAAAAAAACAGAAAAACAAAACCCAGCCATGTTATCATTATTGTCTGCGTCTCGGATTCTAGATCAAATCCAGATTCTATGACATCTCTCCTGAGAAATAAAAGTGAACAACAGAAAACATATGGGCTGATACACAGTAATGATTATGATCTCTCCGCAGGTCCTCCTTTATTAGACCACATGTAAGGCCAGACTGAGCTATTACAGAAGATAAATTTCCCTTGGCGGTATAGAATGGACCCTAATAACGGTCATGTTCCAAAATGTTAACTGATTTGACATGTCACTCCTCAACTCAATAATTTGCAATGGCTCCCAGTTACCTACTAAATAAAATCCAAATGTCATGGTTTGGAATTCAATGATGGCACCAAATCATGAGAAGCAGGACAGCAGAATGGCCTTTTGTGTCGACACAAGCTGAGTTTCAAACTATATTCACACATACAACTGACTCTGGGTAAATAATTGATCTTTTTTGAACTCATTTGGATAATCAGAACCCCTTCCTTGCTAAAGCTGAGGGTCAATGTGATATTGAATGAAATGCACTTAGCACAGTAAGTCCTCAGTAGTGACACTAGTTGCAGTGGTTATTATTGATGACAGTAACAAGGCTCCTCCAGTCTACCTCTCTCTCCTTTGGTTTGCCCACATCTTATGTGCCCACCAAGTGAAATAGATGCTGCATTCACCACCTCTGTGCTCCTGCTCACATTGTTCCCCCTAAATTCTTCCTGTCCTTCATGCAGCTTTTGAGAGTAGGAGATTTACTTTAATTTTCTCAGAGTGAAAACTCTGAATATGGCAAGTGCTCAAAAGAATGTTGAATGCATAAATGAATGAATGTATGAAAGTGTGAGTGGATTTACCCAAAAGCACTGCTGGACCCTGTAGGAAAAACAGATCAGGGAGGACTGAGGGTCCCTAGGTCTAATTTCAGGGCTGCCAATGGATCTCAGTGAAGAGAGGCAGGGGAGGCCAACCCACTCTGGAATAGCATGATGCCTAATGAGATCTGTAAAGTGCTTTTCTGTGTACCAAGCCCTGGGTGATAGACTCTTGAAGGCTAAATGTGCTCTTCAATTCTCAAACCCTTGAATAAAAGAGGACAGATGGACTCCCACTGGAGTCTGGCCCTGGCTTCTGAGCTCCCAGCTGGAGCTCTCTCCAGCCTTGCAAACCTGATCAAAGTTCCTGCTGGGCACACAGCACATAGTCTAATGCTCCAAAGTCCTCTGAGCCCACCCAAGACAGCGGGGACCTAAAGGGCGTCTTTGTATGAATTGAATGGAAAACAAGCACCTTGTCCTCCAAGCCCTAGTGCTCGACTTGGCACAGAAGGTGCAGATTGGAAGCCAACCCCGACTGTGGCATGGCATACACACATGTGTGTGCGCACACTGCTATGCTGAGACTGTGTCATTGGGGTACTCTTTTAGGGACTGCACAATCTGGGGGCTCAATATAGGTTTTGCAACCAAGTGGGCAAGAAGATGTGGTTGGGCACAGTTCCTGACCAAGTATACATACCTTAAAGGCCAGCAGCCCAGCAGAGTGGCGACCTGCATGGGGATGGATGTGTTCTGGTTTTTGAAACGGTTTTTATGTTACAGTAATCCTTCTTGGGAAATCCTTCAGAGAAAGGCAAGGGGATGTGGGTACACACAGTCTGTACCTGCTTTGGCCATCAAGTACAGTGTGGCTCTTTCCTGGATGAACAATCCTACAACTGTAAGGAGGCATTTGTTTACTTTTGCACTTGATTTAATAAATCACCTCGTAAGCGTGTTCTGGTCACCAACAGATATTTCCAAGATAATTTTTAAGACTGAAATTCATGTTAAAATATAGGAAATTTGGCATGAATTTCAGCGCCAGAGGAATATTTTGTGGGTCAAAGGGAGCTTGGATCAAAAGGATAGAGGTGCTGGTCCATGTGACTGGAGGGACAAGCAAAGAAAAATAAAGTTTGACTTTAAAACATTTGAACTCCTAGTCCCTTAAAAATACCTGCTTTCAATTAGGGTCAGTTTTATACTTCTGTGTATTTCTTTGGACTAGATTTACAGTTAGTTTGTTGGACATCTTTACCATTAATAGTCCTTTCAAAAATGTTTAGACTGCCAGGTGTGGTTGCGCAGGCCTGTAATCCCAGTGGCTAGGGAGGCTGAGGCAGGAGGATCACGAGTTCAAAGCCAGCCTCAGCAAAAGTGAGGCACTAAGCAACTCAGGGAGACCCTGTCTCTAAATAAAATACAAAACAGACTGTGGCTCAGTGGTCAAGTGCCCCTGAGTTCAATTCCCGGTACCCTACCCCCCCAAATGGTTAGACTACCAAAATTCTTTTGTCCCATAAATGACAAAATTCTTTGTCCCATCTCATTAATGATGTCACCTAGCCATCCTCTGAAGGATCCCTTTGTTTTGATACACCTCCTTATTAGGTTCTGGTCTAAGAGAAGAAGAATCAATTTTAAAAGAACACATCAGACAGTAACCCCTCTACTTCTGGACTCCAGTCCTTATTTCCCTAAGATCCATGTCATTGTTTCTGATACTGGCTGGAAGGGACAGTTTTGAGTCTACATTTCTCAAATGCATATTCAATCATTTTCCCCCTCTATACAACCACTTCCTATTTGGACTGGAGGAGTCTGGTCTTGAGACTCCCTCACCACAAAAAAATCTGATGAATTATGGATTATAATTCCTCTCTCCCAATTTCCCTCAAAATATATTAAACAAAAAAGCAGGCGGCTTTCAGTTTGGAAAAAAGCTTCCTTTGGGCATTGAAAGTATAGGCTGTGTTGGGGACGTGGAGGTGTGTGAGTGTGGATTACTCCAGCCTGGGACTGCTGTGCCCCCCCCTACTCAGAGGTTCTTCCTGAGGAATCAGCATCGGCTTTTCCTCCAAATGCCTTTGAATACATAGTGTGATCTGAGTTCCTGAGACCGCCTGCAGCCAACTTGTGCAGTAGCAAGAAAATGGGGGAGTTTTCCTGTCCAGTGGGCATTGAACTTGGGCACACCCCCACCCCTGAACTCAAGATGTGCTCCAGCCCCCTGCCACTTCCTGCTCCCAGAGTAGGCAATATAAAATATTTAGGGGCAATGCAGGAGTTTCCAGGGTCTCAATCCAAACCCCTTCCTTCAAATTCAAACTTCAGAGAGAGGAAAAAAACAGACCACGTATATCTGAAGGTGATTAATTGTCTTTATTGGAGGAAAACAAGAAGTCATCAACCTCATTATCATTATGATAGAAATCTTGATATGTATACATGATTGTCAAGGCAGAGAATCATTTGCTACATAGACCCATGAACAACTTTGCAATGCCGCAAACCTATGGGGGTTAAACTTCTTGCAGAGTTTATTACATGCATGGAATAAGTGCACAGTTTCCCTTCTTTTGGACAAGCATGTTTTTATGGGAAAATTGAACCCACCGCAAGCTGGTAGTAGTCGACATGGGAATGTTCCTGGGTTTGACATTGTAAGCTTTTGGAAAACATGCTCACTGTTGAGGGAGAGCCGAAAGAAGGGTAATTACATTATGTGTAGCCACAAAAGCCAATTTGGAAATAGTTCCAATGTTTATTCTGGGCAGAGTGTACCTTTGATGTCTTCTCACCTGAACGTGGGACTAAGATAAATGTTCTCTGAAACATGCCACCTTGTCTTTCAAAATGAGCACCCTGTTGCCATGTTACTGCCTTTCTGTTGACATTTGGACAGCATCTCAGGTCACCCTGAAACAGCCCAAGACCATGGAAGGACAGTGGCAGGCTTCAGAGATACAGGACTCATTTCTTTCCTTCTATAGCTCTTTTGCAGCCTGACAACCCTGTGCCAAAGCCCTGTCCACCCAAGTGCAGGGCTTCTGGAAGGCTGGTCTGGCAAAACTAAGATTTTTCTTTGGGAAGCACTTCAACTAGTGTTTGGGGCTGTTGAGTCCCTAGTGATGTCTCATCTCTGTGATGAAAGCCTCAAACACTCCTCTCATTTTCTTTTTTTCCTGTCCATAAGAAAATAAAATCACCTGTAAGTAAAATAATACAGCAAATCATCAGAAGACATAATAATCACATGAGAAGTTCCCCAGAAACAAAAAAATAATGTTAAAAAACAGTACGGCATATGCAGAAGCGGCCTTAGTACAAAGGGTGAACGCAACAGTTTGTCCCTTTGGTGTAGAAAGATACAGACACTGAGAAGCCATGGCAGTTTGCTTTGTCCACAAAACCACATGCTGAATGTTTGGCTTCCAAATGCACAGCCTTTGGATTTGCAAAAGCAGAGCCCCCAGAGCCACAAGCTGTGCTGCTCCTGCTGCAGGAGGCAGGGTAGTCGGGGAAAGGCTAACTCCTTCCCGATGATTCTGGAGGCATCGACTGTCATGTGGAGCAGGAGGCAGGCCAGGCCTTGGCCAGCATGCAGGGCAGACTTCCCAGCGGGGCCGGCTGCTGTGCGTATGCCTGGGCTGCAGACCACGATGCACTGAGACCACCAAGAAGGGACCTGGTGAAGGAGTGTGGGCTTTTATCTTCCTCTTTCTCCTCTTCCTTAGACCTCCCTGCCACCGAGTGAGTTGAAGTTTTCGAGCTTACTCATCTGCATACAAATCTTCTTGGAGCCATCAGGAGATAAGCCCCAGTTTGAAAAAATAAACTGTTTTTCCAATCTCAACATTTTTCAATTCTGCAAACCAAAGGATTGGAACACCTTTTGCAAAGGTCTGGTACATTCACAGCCCCAACCTAGGACCAGGTACTCCCTCAAAAGGGTGGTGGGTTACATACAGGTATATACATTTTTTTTTTTTCTTTTGGAAACAAACTGAACAGTGTTTGGTCTGGAATGTGTTTAAGGAAAAGGTAAACTTTGTGGTGTATGAGGAGACAGAACAGGAAGTAGTACTGTTTCAGTAGAACATGCAAAGGGGTCGTGCACTGCCTGAATCAGAGGACCATCACTGCGTTTGCCAGGAGTAAGTGTGCAAACCTGGGAAGGAGTACATTTCTGTTTATGAAAATGGGAGGAGCTGCCCTTTGCTGGCCCTTGACTTTCTTTCTTATATCCAGCAGTGCATCTATGGCGGTCATGGGAAGGAAGGGGTGTTGGGGGCTGAAGCAGAGGCACTAGCCCCAGGTCTCATGTCTTTGACTCTGGAGCAATGGATCCAGTGTGGCTTCCCCAGCATGGAGAATCTATTTCAGCCCTGGCCCTCTGGATCCAAGGGGCCATGGGTCCAAAGCTCTAAAATACTGAGTCCATCTTCCCTGGGATATGGCCTTTTCTTTCTGTTTCCACAAGTGGAGAGAAGTCCCCTCTCCCACGCATAATTCACCCAGGCCATACTGGGCACCAAGGTGGACAGGTGGACAGCATATCAGTCCTGGGTAAACCAAGTCGAGGCTCACTATGTGGACTGCGTTCATCAGAATGCTGATGTTTTCTAAGAGCCAAACCTTTTTGCCTATTTGACACAGCCATCTTCTTTTGCCCCAGGCCTGATGGCCAAGCTCCCTGGACACTACCTTAAGACCTAGCTGGAGAGTGGCACCCTCTCAAAGTCACGAGCTGCTCCATGCTTTTGAGGTGAGATTCTTAAAGAAGTGACCGGAATCAAGGTCAAGAACACTATGTCACACCTGCTCTGTTATTTTATTTTTGACATGCTTTCAGCATAGTTCTTTTCTTTCCAAAGGAGACATGAAGGGCGATATTGTCTTTTCTAGTTTCCATGGAGGCAGGAGCAGCACACACTGGTTATTGCCAATCCCATAAGCATCCCTGGGGGTTCTGTCTCTCTAGCTGGGCAGCACCCGATCTCCTCAGGGGTTTTGTGGTGAAGTGCACTTCACCTAGGTATCCCTGCCCCTCCCAGACTCAACTACCTTGACCTCCCCAATCTGGGACTCCAGAGCATACTGTCCCTGCTGGAAAGCAAGGCTCTGCAGAGCAGGGAGCTACCAAGACTCTAGAGGTACCTTGGTGAAGAGTGATAAGCTGATAGCCTGTGGGACCTGAGCATAGCACCCACTCAATTCCAGATGAATGCCAGCTGCTCCTAATGCCTCATTTAGGAGATGAAGATTAGGGGGTCAAGAGAGACAGACAGGCAGTGAAGGGAAGATGATTCGAGAACACATTCAAAATTGAATATCCATGTGAGGGGAAATAAATTCATTTGCACAGAGAAGGTGAAAGACCAAATGGGGGACTTGGGGGTCAAGAAAAAAGCCAGAAATGGGGCCTGTGTGTCTACCCATGGCTCAGCTGAGCATTCTGGGTGAGAGTATGAAATGCTCAGTTAATCCTAGTGGAACTGACATCAGTGGGGGGCTTTGCCATTCCATTTGTGAGGCTGTAAGCAAAGGTCTACTCTGCATCCTCTTCTTGTTTCCTCATAAAACATAAATAATGCCAAGTGGTTGGAAGAGAACCTTTGTCTTTTTATCCCAAGGGCTCTCTCAAAAGGGCAGACTCTTCCATATGGTATTTACTTCCCCATCTTTCTAAAACAATGGAAAATAACCTAAGTCCAGTGGCATCAAGACAGTGATGCTTCCTGATGTCATGATCAGCAGAATCTACTACTGGGCCCAAACCAGTCTCCATCTTGCACTGTTATTGGGACCTGACACTCCAAGGGCCAAGTACTGACCCAGACAGCTCAGAAGGTACCTGCACAGGCTCACCCTTCACCTGTTCTGCATTTTTCAGGTACAAGATACTTTTAAATAACTGAATATAACATGCATCTCAGATATCAGCTCCAGAAACTATTTTCATCACCAATAACAGAACCTGGTTTTAAATGTTGCTTTCTAAACACAAATGCTGTGTGTAGCACACAGCAAAAAACAAAAACAAACAAACAAACAAACAAACAAAAAAAAACAACTCTACGCACATTACAGGTACCAAACTCAGGCTGATTATCTGATGCCCAGTAAATTTCTATTTACTTTTTTCTTATACTGTATGAACCTGAATGTTTCTGTGACACTTATTGGTAAGCAACATCCTAATCAACCTCTTAGAGTTTTCTCAAGAACTGTTTATAATACTTATGTCCTTGTCTTTCTGAGGGGGAGAGGTTGATGCTTCTCCAGTTTATATGACACTTGATTTTCAACTGGGCCTGCTATCATTTTACAGGCTTTTTCTAGACTTTTTGCACATTTTGAAGAGGGTAAGCTTAAATTTTCACCCCGTTCGCTTGTGTGGCAGATGCTCAGCAGGACTCCTGCCAAGCAGTGAGTGCATGTGACACATGTAGAACAGGTAGACCAGCTGCCCCTCTTCCCAGTTGCTCATCTATATCCTGCACTAATGTCCTTAGGAAGACAGGCTGGGGCTGCTGAGCCTGATAACACTGTGTATGTGTGTGCATGTGTGTGTGTGTGTGTGTGTTGGGAGGGCTGTGTAGCACTAAAAGTAGGCAAAAGTGTAGAAGTGACAAAGATGGTTTGCCCAACAGGACCTTCCATGACTGGCCATTCACAGGAGAGGGGTGCGAGGCCATCAGCTGGGATGGCCACTAGACCATCAGGTGGACCTACTGACACCCTCCGTGGGCTCAAGGATGACTGTGCAGAATTGAGCCAGGGGCATTAGATGGGCACAAAGGCAGAGGGAGGCTTTGGAGCCACCTGCCTGGGTCTATAGAGAGCCTCCTGGGAAAGTGTGCCCTCTGTTGCACACTGCTCTCTCTCTCCTGCACACCTATCTACCACGTGGGTGCACAATGTGGCCTAGTGTCCCTGGACATTCCTGGTTTTAACATTAAGAGTTCCACATCCTGGGAAATCCTTCATACCAGGCCAACTGGGGCATTTTTGATTTCCGGTTCCACTGAGGAGAGGGATGCCTTCACATACACGCAGGGCCTGGCTGAGGTCATCTCTGAATGTTTCCATGGGTGGCCAGTGTCCTGCGCACTTGGTAGTCACTTCTTCTTATCACCCCAGATAAATGGTTCCTTCTTCAGGACTGTTATCCTCCCCTCCCTTAGATAACATTCATAAACCAACAGGGTAAAAATATGGAGAAGCAACTTGTGAGTGTTGGAGGCCATTTTAAGTATAAGATTAGAAATGCATCTTTAAAAAACAAAGAGAGATTAATTTTAAAACTGCATAGCTGAGATCAGAGTTTCGTCGGTTTTCCCTCATGAGAAAAGAAGGGTGCACATGGGTTCACTTTAAACAGCACAGCAGCTTGCCCTTTGGTAAGGGAGGCTCCTAAATCTTGGCATTGTGGACATCTCGTTGACTGGTAAAGTCAGCCTGGGAAGCTGATCCCGGGTCTCTGGGGAGCAGGTGTCTTGGTTTCTGCTGTGGTTGGTGTGGGTTTTGCTGGAGAATCTGCGAGGAAAAGTTTTCTGCAGGCTCCTCCCCAACCCCCCAGAACTGCCCCTCCAGAGAAAGAGAAGTAAAGTGCACTCTCAGCCTTAGAGACAGATTCTCGATCCTCTTATTAGAATTTTAAAAAATACCTTGAAATTCTCCCCGGAGGGGGGGAAAATCTCTTAAAGGTTAACATAAAATTACTATTGAAGAGCAAACGATAGAGGTCATGTAACTGAGAGATATAGAACAAGAACACATACTTCTTAAAAGGAAAACAAAATCCTAATGCACAATATTTACTAATATTTAAATAATCCAGTTGAAACCATATTTTTTCCATGAAAAAATACACCCTAGACGGTTGCCTACGCTGCAGAGAGTGGAAATGGTGGAGTTGGGGGAGAGGAAGAAGAAGGTCCATTCGGTTAGAGCTTTGCAAGATTCATATATACAGCACCAGGTCCTATTAATTCAGCTCCCCTTGAGTCAGTAGAGTTTGTGAGAAATGAACACTTCAGAATTGCGGTATAAAATATGGCCATAAAAAAACTTGTGTCTTCCAGTCCTACGCAGGAAGGTGCACCAGGCAGGGCAGGGTCTTGGTGGCCCAGGGCTCCCCTTCCCTGGCTCCGCCCCCTGGTTCCCACCTCCAGAGCCGGTCACTTGCTTCCAGTGTGCACTGTCGTCACAGTGGTGGGCCTGGGTCTCCGCTCGGCTCCAACTCCTGAGACCCCTGACGAAGAGGAAATGAAACTACAGAGCGTGGAAGGTTCCAGACCTGCAGGGGAAGAGCAGACACTTGGGTTCAGAGATTCAGAAGAAAATTTGCAGCCCTTTCCCATCACAAGGGTCAGATGGGTTGGGTCTGTGGGGGACCAAACATTTGCCCACCCACGTGACTCTACAAGGTTTTTTTTTCAGTGCTAGGGGTTGAACCCAGGTCCTTACGCATGCCAGGTATGCACTCAACCACTGAGCTACAATCTCTCCATTTTTGCCTCCCCATAGGAAAACCATTGCAATATGTTCAAAATTCTTTATGCATAGACCCAACTCTCCTCTTTTTTTTCATTATAATTATAAATGCTTTGCATTTATCTTGGCCACCATGATGAGTAGGCCCATCTACTGAGCACTTACTGCATAGGCTTTGGTTGGGTGTGGAACATATACTGTCATTGTAAGAATTGTTCAAATCTTTCAACAGCTCCATTAATTAGGCATTTTAAGAATGAAGAAAGAATCAGATATCCTCTTTTGGCCCCTGGTTGGTGTGTTGTCTATACTCTGGGCTAAGAAACACTTGGCATTGTGAGCATCTCATTGACTGGTCAATGTTTACTTTTTCTTGTGAGAAATCAGCAGCCCTTTGACCTGGAAAAATTCCTCCCAGGCTGCACGCAAACCCTCCATGGGCCCTGCTGCGGGCTGCATTAGCTGCTCCAGCGGTGCATGTCCCCAGAGAGCTTTGCACACTCAGACACAGGGAGATCCATACAATTAATTAATAAGATGAGCTTTGCCGTCAATGCCCACACACAATTCTTTAAATAAAAAACCAACTGTGGGTTCCCTCTGGTCAGAGTGGGGGAAAGATCTCTATTGACACATGAAGGTGGTCCACAGGTGTATGTGACTGTGTCAAGGAAGCTCATGGATACATCCTGGGAAGATTGTGATTGTGTGTGTTGGGGGGTTGCAGTCCTGAATGAAATGGGATGATCTTTAGTGGAAGGAGAACTTTTTCTGAGCCAAATGGGAAAGAATTTGATGTTCAAGGTGGAGCCAAGCTGAAGGGCTGCTCAGTGGTTAGGGAGATGAGAATTGATGGGGACAATCAAGGCAACTGTCCAAAGCAGAGAGGAGCCACTGGATGGCCTAGCATGAGACAGAGAGGACAGTAAAGAGAGGGCAGTGGAGGGGGGACTAAGATCTTGAGGATGTCAATGCTAAGTAAGGATAAGGGATGAAGAAAGACTAATACCATTTTTTTTATTGCAAAGTCAATGTACTTCCAATAAATGAGCTCCAATTATCATCATCCTCACCAAAAAAAAGTTAAAAGTCAGTGAGAACAACCATCAGGAGTCCCTACCACTCTCTCCTCCATCCACAGAATTACTGCACAATGAAAAGCAAATTGGAGGGGAAGGAGCTAGACCACGAAGTATCTGGGTCTCACGGAGACAGGCCCAGCTGTAGGGCCCTGGAGCCATAGGTGGATTTCTCATCTATAAATGGCAATAACAATATCTGGTGTGTGTGAGTATTAAATGGTTCAATTAAAAAAATAAAGCCCTAGGGTGGTTGGGAGCATTAAGTGAGATAAAATATGGGAGGTGCCTGGCAGACAGAAGGCACTGGGCAGGACAGCTCCCTCCTCTCCGCCCCAGGCTTGTCTCAAATGCCCGCTAAAGAATTCTGGTTTTGCTACATACGCACAATCTTTTTGGCTGGCCAGACTGAGGCTGCTTGAGACACCTGCATTTGAGCTGTCCAGGCTGCTGCCGAGATGTAGTCTTCTCATATGCCTCACGACGGCTGTGGCATTAAATGCTTGCTGAAATTTAAGACAGGAAAATACCGGACAAAATATTCCAGATAGTTAGAAAAGACCCTGATGGCTTCCTTTTAAGCTCTGCTTACCCCAAGTGTTGCGAACTTCTCAAACCATTCTCAGGACACTTCAGAAAGAAAACTTCTATTGTCCCTTCTTCCAAAGTGTGCAAAGTTATTTTAACACCCCCCCTCTCCAATTAAAATAAATTTTGGAGATATAAGAAGAGAGTTTTCTTCTGACCTCATAAATATATACAACAAATGTAAGACAATTCTCTCCATAATTTAAGAGATTTTCGAATGAAAGGCATATTAGAAGAGTGTAATATATTAAAATGTGATGCTTTAGAATAGTATTTATTTTCCTATAATTGATACTTTTGTCCCAATTTATGGCATTTCCTCTGAATAAAATAGGGCAGTGGAATTAATTGTGTTTCTATATAGTCACTCGCTATTGACTCTCATGGAAAGAAAGCCAGCCCTTAATTACCCATGTTTTTTAAAACATAGTTTAGATCAAAAATCCATGATCACAAAACCTCTGTGGTTTATTTTCTATATTTTTGAATTTTGCATTAAATCAAACAGCATAGTGGGATTCGTCATTTTCTATTTGTACATGCATCTAACATCATTTGGTCAATTTCATTCCCAAGTACCTCCCCTTAACTTCTATGGGTTTAAATCCATTGCATTTTTATCAGAAAATATTGGTGAAGTCAACTCAGATTTCCTGTTTTCTTTCCCCTTCCACATCACTTTAGTAAAAGCTGACTCTTCAAAGTTGCAGCAAAGTGAAGAGAGATGAAGGGGTTTATATTGCTTATGAAATGGCAAATGAGTAAGAGCCGGCAGGATTGCTATCTTTGAATCTCAGAGGGGAAAGGTTCAATCACACATGGTGTCCCTCTTACACTATGGTCCTCCCTCCAGGTCTTAATCATTATCAGTTAAAATTAACAAAATTAGCTGGATGAGGTTCTGGGAATTTCCATCCAATTAGGGTGACAGTGACCTTTAGAAGTAATAACGCTCAAACGACAGAGCAAGATTCACGAGAGTGGTTAAAGTCACTGCGAATTAAAAAAAAAAAAAAAAATGCTCAGGACTTACTCTCCATTTGCTTTTGGCAAAGTTCTTCCGGATCTGGGCACTGACGGACTCATGGATATTTTTGTTGAGGGCCGTGTCACCAGCAATCCTGAAATAGAGGCAAAGATATTCCTTCAAAAAGGGCAAATGGGTCCCAGGTTGTTTCCCAGGGAACCTCCTCCTGTCCTCAGGAAAACATAGCCTTGTGAGAGGGTGACTTCTCTCACCCTGTGACTCACCCCTCAACTCACACACGCCACCACATCACCCCAAGGTCCTAGCCCACTTTCTGTACTCTGTACCCTTCCCTGGATCTGCAGGCACTCTCCTCAGAACCTTGCCACCAACCTCTTGTTTTTCCCTCCTTTGCCCTGAATTCACTTCCAGCCTGTTCCCTTTCTGGGACCCCCTCCCTCCACTCCAGCTCTTAACCTGCAAGTCTCTGAGCTCACACATGTCTTCTGACTGCTCTGACCACCAGAACCTCCCCAGGGCCTGGCTTGTAGCTTCCTTGCAGCCAAGGTCCTGACTTTCTGCCCTCCTCAGGGCCTCTCCTCCAAGGACCCTGTGGGTGTGCTCACCTCCCTCCTGGCTCCATCTCAGCTGAGCTAAGCTCTGTGGTGACATTCCATCCATCTGCCCCAGCCCTGTTCTCCTACCTTCTCCACCTCAACTCAGTCCTGCTTAGTGCATCCTCTATACTTGTACTTTCTAGAAAGTTCCAAGAACTTAGAGGATCATGTCCAATCTGTATTCAACTGGGTCCTTGATTGTCCTGGGCAATCTTTATTATGGTTTTAGTTTATTTCCAAGCCTTTTCTATTGGTGTGCTCTTCTACTCCATTCTCTCTCTCTCTCTCTCTCTCTCTCTCTCTCTCTCTCTCT